CTCCATCTTGCTATAGCCGGACCAGCACACTGCAACTGTGTGGCCATCTCTTTCAGCCAATCTCCCGTCCTTATAGCCTCGCGTAATCCCCGTGTAATGAAGTTTGCAGGTTTGAATCTAGTGGCTCCTTCCTTGTGCTCCCAACCGTAATTAGTCCTTATGAAATTAAGATGACATGTTTACACGGATTCCTGCTTTCTTGCTTTGAACCTGAAGATGACATGTTTGCGGTGATGCACGGTGAACAGGTGCCTCAATAATGACCCATACCTGATCCTAGATTCCACGCACAATCATGGTATAGGTTCCCCAAATAGACCTCACAAGAAGGTTGGTATTCATTCAGGCTCCTACATTCCTTTGCATAACCCTACACAACCAACAAACTTAAACCCTACAGCCCAAAACTCTGAACCGTGTAGCTGTCTGAGGCTTCCATGCGAAGATCACTGGAGCGGGCCTGAAGCCCGAGTTCGCACCGTCATCTGCCAGCACTTGTCATGGGTTCTCCAAACCACCCCCTACTGCCCCTCTGAAGTAACTTCAAACAACCGTAAACTAGAAAACCGCCGGGGTAAATATGGGTGGCTGGTGAGAGGGGAACACATGAAATAGGTCTTGCCAATCAGAGGCAAGTAAGTAGGTTGGAAGGGGGGTTATAAATAGGCCAAACCTAAAGAAGGGACTGGCAACACATCTTGTAAGCTACTTGCTAACTAACTCCGCTGAGCCTTCAAGCATTGCAATTACTGTTTGTTACTTGTACTTGAACCCCAAATGTAAGTAAGAGTTATAGCCTTTTTTTGGTTTTGGGCAAAGGGTCTGCCCATTTCTGGGGTCAAGGCACTTGACTGTTATTACCCTAAACCCTAAGCCCCGAACAAGCCTCAAGCCCCGAACCCTAAATCCTAAACCCTAAACCCTAACAGTATTTCAATGGAGATCAGGTTTAGGGTTCGGGGGAGGGTTCGGGTCTTTAGGGCTTCAAGGAGGGTTTGGGCGAAAAGGTGCAGGGTTCAAGGAGTGTTCAAGGAGCGTCGCCTGCCAACTCCAAATCATGGTGTTGTCACAGGGTTGCAGTAGGTGGATCGTGAGTTGTGGATGTAACATTGATGAGGTCCTTCAAAGTAGGATCTACTGCGTGAGAGATGGCAGCTATGCATTGCATCAGGGATTCTGCGGCGCCTCTCGTGCGACAGGGAAAGTCAAGACCAGTTCAACAGGAGTATATCTGGCCACTTCTGATCCTTTGCACTCAAAATTAAAACCCCCCCGCCCCCCGTTTTGAGAAAGCCCCTTTTCTTGCTTAAGATCAGAACCGGTGGCTTATGGCTTGAGGTTCGGGGTTTTGTCTGGGCCCATTGCCCCAGGTGACATTACCAAGATATCAGGCCAGGTGCCTCTGCACACACAAACCTTTGAAACAGGATAAAGCTCCCAAGCCCTAGCATTCAGTCTTTCCTAGACAAGAGTACACATCTTATCAGTAGTAAGGATGTGATGCCAGGTGGACAGCTTCATAAACCTTCTATCCCCTTGACGCCTTGAAAGGAAGGATGCTGACTGGGGCGAGCGCTATTTCCACATACTGGATCCCATGGGCCATCTGCCTGCAATTTTGGCTACAGGGAGTCCCCTAAGTTTAGGATGTTTTTTGTTAGGGAGCCCAGACAGTTTTCGGTTTCTGAAGCTCTGGTAGTCTCACATTTTCTGTCACTCTTGTGGTGAGGTTCTTAAGTCTTATGATACTGTGGTTACTAGAATCCTGCATGACAGTAGCATTTTGGAGTACCACAATTCCGAAGGCACTTAAGTACGGTCATGCAGAATTCTTAGTAGCGACCGTATCGTGGCTCCTTGTAGTGTAGCTATGTGCTCGCCAGAGAGTCGTTCAAGTTCCCACAGAGCACCAACAACAAACCGTGAACCCGGACTTCTTTGTTTGAGTGGTTGTTGGTGTTGCTGCCTTTGGGAGAGAGTGAACATCTTGAGAGAGGCAGGCCACCGGTCATGTTATCTAGCAAAATGCGGGGTCCAGCTGATGCAAAGCTCTGCTCAGTGAGCCGGGACAAACACAAGCAGCAGCAGGCGACGGAAGGGTATACTGGCAAACACGTCAGGTTTGCACCTATGTATGTTAGGAGACGAGGCACAGGTGCATTGTAGGCTTCAGGGCTTCTCTTGCAGGGAGGGAAGACGCAGCCTACACGATGACGTTTTCAGATTTGTTCTTTAGAAAGGACAGGACTGCAATGCTCAAGCTTCTTTTCTGAATCTGCCGTGCTCATAGCAACGATCCAAAGGATGTTGCAAATCTTTCTTGCCGAAGGTGCAAGAGGATTGCCACACTCCAACACGAATAGCCGCCACTCGATTTCCGTTTGTATTCATTTGCACTAGGATTCTCCAGAAAGCTGCCCGGCGTTGCCCTGGGCTCCAGTCTAGGTGAATAGCCCAGATCTGCTGCGGAGGTCTTTGGCAAGATGCGTCCAGCAGCAGGTGAAGCTGTGCCGCAGCTGATCGATGCGGTGAAGGATCCAGATGAGAATATGCGCAGTTCTGCTGCAAAGGCCTTGGGCAAGATGGGTCCAGCAGCAAGTGAAGCTGTGCCGCGGCTGATCGAAGCGCTGAAGGATCCAGATGTGGATGTGCGCAGTTCTGCTGCAAAGGCCTTGGGCAAGATGCGTCCAGCAGCAGGTGAGGCTGTGCCGCAGCTGATCGAAGCGCTGAAGGATCCAGATGGGAATGTGCGAAAAGAAGCTGCAGAAGCCTTGAGCAAGATGCGTCTAGCATCAGGTGAAGCTGTGCGGCAGCTGATCGAAGCGCTGAAGGACCAACATGTCAACGTGCGCAGTACTGCTGCAGAGGCCTTGGGCAAGATGGGTCCAGCAGCAGGTGAAGCTGTGCCGCAGCTGATCGAAGCACTGAAGGACCAAGATGACGGTGTGCGCAGTTCTGCTGCAGAAGCCTTGAGCAAGATGGGTCCAGCAGCAAGTGAAGCTGTGCCGCAGCTGATCGATGCGCTGCAGGATCAAGATGCAGCAGCCGGTGATTCTGTGCGGCAGCTGATCGAAGCGCTGAAGGACCAACATGTCAACGTGCGCAGTACTGCTGCAGAGGCCTTGGGCAAGATGGGTCCAGAAGCAGCTCAAGCTGTGCCGCAGCTGATCGAGGCGCTGAAGGATAATTTCTTTACTGTGCGCAAAGAAGCTGCAGAAGCCTTGGGCAAGATAGGGGCAGCAGGTGAAACTGTGTCGCAGCTGATCGAAGCGCTGAAGGATGAAATTTACCCTGTGCGCAAAGAAGCTGCAAAGGCCTTGGGCAAGATGCGTCCAGCAGCAGGTGAAGCTGTGCGGCAGCTGGTCAAAGCGCTGAAGGACCAACATGTGAATGTGCGCAGTTCTGCAGCAGAGGGCTTGGGCAAGACGGGTCCGGCAGCGGCTGAAGCTGTGCCACAGCTGATCGAGGTGCTAAAGGATCCAGATGAGAATGTGCGCGAAGAAGCTGCAAAGGCCTTGGGCGAGATGGGTCCAGCAGCCGGTGAAGCTGTGCAACAGCTGGTCGGAGCACTGAAGGATAAATTCTTTCCTGTGCGCAGAGAAGCTGCAAAGGCCTTGGGCAAGATGGGGGCATCAGCAGGTGAAGCTGTGTCGCAGCTGATCGAGGCGCTGAAGGATGAAGTTTTTCCTGTGCGCAAACAAGCTGCAGAAGCCTTGCGCGAGATGGGTCCAGCAGCAGCTGAAGCTGTTCCGCAGCTGATCGAAGCGCTGAAGGATCAAGATTATTATGTTCGCTGTTTTGCTATACAAGCCTTAGGCAAGATGGGTCCAGCAGCAGCTGAAGCTGTGCCACGGCTGATCGATGCGTTGAAGGATCAAGATGGCCGCGTGCACAATTGTGCCGCGGAGGCCTTGAACGAGATGGGTCCAGCAGCAGGTGAAGCTGTGCGGCAGCTGGTCAAAGCGCTGCAGGACCAGAATGTTGATGTGCGCCGCTTTGCTGCAGCCGCCTTGAGCAATCTGGGTCCAGCAGCAGGTGAAGCTGTGCCGCAGCTGATCGAAGCACTGAAGGACCAAGATGATAGTGTGCGCGGTTCTGCTGCAGAAGCCTTGAGCAAGATGGGTCCAGCAGCAAATGACGCTGTGCCACAGGTGATCGAGGTGCTAAAGGATCCAGATGAGAATGTGCGCGAAGAAGCTGCAAAGGCCTTGGGCGAGATGTGTCCAGCAGCAGGTGAAGCTGTGCGGCAGCTGATCGAAGCGCTGAAGGATCCAGATGTGCATGTGCGCAGAGCAGCTGCGGAGTCCTTGGGCAAGCTGGGTCCAGCTGCTGTTGAAGCTGTGCTGCAGTTGATCGACGCGCTAAAGGATGAAATTTACCCTGTGCGCAAAGAAGCTGCAGAGGCCTTGGGCAAGATGGGTCCAGCAGCAGGTGAAGCTGTGCCGCAGCTGATCGAGGCTCTGAAGGATCCAGATCAAAATATGCGCAGTTCTGCTGCAAAGGCCTTGGGCAAGATGGGTCCAGCAGCCGGTGAAGCTGTGCCGCAGCTGGTCGGAGCGTTGAAGGATAAATTCTTTCCTGTGCGCAGAGAAGTTGCAAAGGCCTTGGGCAAGATGGGGGCAGCAGCGCGTGAAGCTGTGTCGCAGCTGATCGAGGCGCTGAAGGATGAAATTTACCCTGTGCGCGAACAAGCTGCAGAAGCCTTGCGCAAGATGGGTCCAGCAGCAGCTGAAGCTGTTCCGCAGCTGATCGAAGCGCTGAAGGATCCAGATGTGCATGTGCGCAGAGCAGCTGCGGAGTCCTTGGGCAAGCTGGGTCCAGCTGCTGTTGAAGCTGTGCCGCAGTTGATCGACGCGCTAAAGGATGAAATTTACCCTGTGCGCAAAGAAGCTGCAGAGGCCTTGGGCAAGATGGGTCCAGCAGCAGGTGAAGCTGTGCCGCAGCTGATCGATGCGCTGGAGGATAGTCATGACGTCAGTACTGCCAAGGCTTTGTGTAAGATAGGTCTAGCAGACGCTGCCGGTTTCGGATCTGCAGCTGTGCGAAGGAGGCTTGTCCATGTTCTCAAGCAAATTGATGATGCGCGATCCCCAGCTCACGGGGCGGTGTTGCAGCTTCTACTGTCGCTCAGTCAGCAATGTCAAGACTCCGTGGATCCAGATGTGGCCGATGCCGTTGTGCAGGCGATATGGCTCAGTGACTGCGATGATGTTGCTCGGTCTGCTGTGAAGTCTCTTCCTATGATCCTGAAGGCAGTCGAACTTAGCCCCGTAAAGTTGCGTGGCCTGGTGCAGCGAGCCTGGCGCATGGTGCCAGATGCTGTGATTCAATGCGGCCTGCACAGCCTCTTGGGACTTAGGAATCCCCATGACCTCCCTGGTCCAATGGAGCAAGACATCAGCCAGCCAGACCCCAGCGAAGTACCCACAACCATCACCCTCAGCGACAGCTGTGCCCCCAACGCAGCCACGGAAGGCTCGCTTTCTCAACAGGCATCCTACATTCCCGCAGGCAGTTCAGA